GGCCCTCACTGTGCTGGGCCCCCCAGCAGGCCTCGAAAATGGCGACAGTTTCGCAGATCGCAGCCCCCCAGGGACGGCGAGGTCTAATTTGAATCCGCGCGTGGCCCTCACTGTGCTGGCCCCCCAGCAGGGCTCGAAAGTGGCGACAGTTTCACAGATCGCAGCCCCCCAGGGATGGCGAGGTCTAATTTGAATCCGCCGCGATTACCCTCTATGCAGGACCCCCCAGCAGGCCTCGAAAGTGGCGACAGTTTCACAGATCGCAGCCCCCCAGGGATGGCGAGGTCTAATTTGAATCCGCCCGTGGCCTCTATGCAGGACCCCCCAGCAGGCCTCGAAAGTGGCGACAGTTTCACAGATCGCAGCCCCCCAGGGATGGCGAGGTCTAATTTGAATCCGCCGCGATTACCCACTATGCAGGACCCCCCAGCAGGCCTCGAAAGTGGCGACAGTTTCACAGATCGCAGCCCCCCAGGGATGGCGAGGTCTAATTTGAATCCGCCGCGATTACCCTCTATGCAGGACCCCCCAGCAGGCCTCGAAAGTGGCGACAGTTTCACAGATCGCAGCCCCCCAGGGATGGCGAGGTCTAATTTGAATCCGCCGCGATTACCCTCTATGCAGGACCCCCCAGCAGGCCTCGAAAGTGGCGACAGTTTCACAGATCGCAGCCCCCCGCAGGCAAGACAGGAAGAGGCAGGCAGGAGGCAGGAGGGAGGCGGGAGGAGACGCGACCACACTGCTCTATTCAAAACGAATACCCAACCAAGGAGGGTTGGGAATCATTGATTTAATGTAGGTTTTCGGTGAATTGGGGGTTCTCCTCTTTTCGGCTTCCCGACGCTCCAAGGACGGCGGTCTTCTGGGCGTCCGAAGCCGCCTGGGATGCTCCAAAATCGCCCCACAACCATCCGAAAGGGCTTCCAGGCAGTCCAAGAGAGCTCCAAAAAGGCACAACAGGGGTCCAAGATGGCTTTAGGAGAGCCCCATGGCGGCCCAAGATGGCCTCAAGACACCCTCCGAAGCATTCCAAATCGTGACCGGGGCGTTCAGGGAGACCGCTGTTAGAGGCAGGTTGGCCTTAGGAAGCCCCAGAGGCCCCCAGAACACGCCCAGGAGGCCTCCAGAAGGCTTTAAGACAGCCTGAGAACTTTGGTGAAGGCCCCCAGAGGCTTTCCAAGGAGAAGCCTCCGCAAAAAGAGCTGAGGAGGATTGGGAGAATGCCCAGGGTATGGCAAGAATGAGGAAAAATAAATGTGGAGGAAGGATAACGAACAACATTATTATAACGGCGATGCCAGAAAAGGCAGCAAGGAGTTATCGCTAAATTCTCGGCTTGCCCTTCCTGCCATTTCCGCCTGCATTCCCAACTTCAAGGACCAGGGTGCATGGCGCGAAGCGCCACTGCAGTCTTGTATACATTTATACATCTACCTATACATTATATATGTATATGTATATATATATTTATACATATATATATATATATACATATATATATATATATATAAACATACAGACGTTATATACATAAATTGCCCCCCCCCCTTGGTCTTGGCCGGCCGACCCCGCCACCATCGGCGGAAGCCCGCGGATCCCCCCTCCGTTTCGCTCCCCAGGGTCGGCCCGGAGAGGCCAAGAGGGTGCCAAGACGAGCCCGGGAGTGTTCCAAGAGGCCCCCACGACGGCGCAAGAAGGTCCCGAGCTGCTCAATACGGCCCAGGAGGACTCCCAGAGCACACCCAAGAGGGACCCAAGAGGCCCAAAGCATGAGATCCCGATGGGAGCACGTACGTGTATAGCATGAACGACTTTTCAGCCTTCGCGGTTTTCAAGACGGTCCAAAAGGCTCCCAAGACTTCCCCAAGACAGCCCAAGACGTTCCCAAGAGGCCCCCGAGCCAGCCAAAAAGGGCGCCAAGACGGCCCAAAGGCCGCCTAAGACGGCCAAGTTGGCCCCAAGACGGCGCCCAAGACGGCCCAAGAAGGCTCCGAGTCGCCCAAGACGGCCCAAGATGGCCCGAAGACGGTCCAAGAAGGCTCCGAGGCGTCCCAAGAGGCCTCCAAGAGCATTCCCAGGAGGTCTCCAAGAAGCCACAATCGTTTTATTCTTACGGGAAGGCGTACATTTGTATCATATGCGATTTTTCGGCCTTCACGGTTTTGAAGACATATCTGTAGATACAGACATACATACACGTATGTATACATATATATATATATGCATACATACATGCATATATACATGCATACATATACATTTACATATACATAAACATACGTGTACATATATATATGTGTATATCATCTTTTTATACACAACATACTTATATGTATATATATACATATATCTATATGTATGTATGTGTATATATATATATATGTATCGATTCGTATTCTGATATTTGTGCAAGCTTTGGGGGGGGAGCCCACCCCCAAACGGAACCCCCAGATCCGTGGCCCCATGGGGCCCCTGGACGCCCTTGCAGGAGGCCCCCCAGGCTGTCAGGAGCTCCTGGAAGCCCTTGCTGGGCTTGGGCAGAGGGCCCAAATCGGTCAGGAGGGCGGCCGAACGGCCCCCCGAGGGCCCCAAGGGCCCCAGACATCCAGGAAAAGCCCGAACAAGACCCAACGAAGAGCCCCAAGACGCTCTCGAAACCTAAAACAAAACACAGATTTTCAATTGTGCTTGCATGATTTGGGGAAAGTTCAGTTCTTCGGTCGTCCAGGCGTCCGAGCCCGCCCAGGAGGCCCGAAAATCGCCTTGAAAACCACCCGAAAGGGTTTCCAGGCAGCCCAGGAGAGCCCCAAGACGGCACAACAGGGGTCCAAGATGGCCGGAAAACACCCCATGACAGCCCAAGATGGCCCCACGACGCTTCCCGAAGCATTTCAAACCGTGACCCAATCGCTCCGAAAACCATCCGAAAAGGCTTCCAGGCAGCCCAGGAGAGCCCCAAGACGGCACAACAGGGTTCCAAGATGGCCGAAAGAACACCCTATGACAGCCCAAGATGGCCCCAATACGCTTTCTTTCCTGCGTAGTGTTTCCTACGCAGTGTTTTTGTTACGCAGTGTTTGTGTACGCAGTGTGTTGTACGCGGTGATGTTTACGCAGCGTTGCTGTACGCAGTGTTTTGTTTACGCATTGTGTTTCACGCAGTGTGGTTTTACGCAGTGTTGTCTACGCAGTGTTTCCTGCGTAGTGGTGTCTGCGTAGTGTTTCCTGCGTAGTGTGTTCCGCGTAGTGGTTCTTGCGTAGTGTTTTCTACGTTGCGTTTCTTGTGCAGTGAATTATGCATCGCGTTTCTTTTGTTGTGGTTTTACGCAATGCGTTTTTTTACGCAGTGCTGATTGTTTTGCAGGTTGCGTTTTCTACGTAGTGTTTCCTGCGTAGCGTTTTCTATGTAGCCGTTCGTGCGTAGTGTTTTCTCCGTAGCGTTTCGTGCGTGAATGAACACTCTGCGTCAATTTCATTGCGTAAAACAACGTTTCGTTAGAAGCATTGCGTGAACATCATTGCGACCAAAAAGCAAACACTGCGTTGAAATACCGCGTTGAGAACATTGCGTTAACAAAAAACCTTCTGTTAACAAAACGTTGCATGACACAGTTGCGTTAAAACGCCGCGGTGTCAAACAAATTGCGTCGGAAACATTGCGTAACATCAACACTGCGTTTGAACACATTGCGTAACAAACAACACTGCGTATACTACCCTGCGTAACAAAAATGCGTTGAACTCCAGGCGACAAAAACACTGCGTAAACGAAAACACTGCGTGAGCGAAAACACTGCGTGAGGAAAACTGCGTAACATACAATCATGTCACTACTTTGCCTTGCAAGCACTGCGTAAGCAAAAACACTCAGTAAAGGCAATGTTGCGTAACCAAACACTACGTGAATGAAAATACCAATTCTGGTTTAACACCTACGGCGTTAAACGCACAGCGTAAACAAGATCACTGCGTTAAAAAACGGTGTGTGGCACATTGCGTAAAAAAGAACACAGCGTACAAAAAACACTCCGTTAAACAATTGCGTCAACATCATTGCGTGAGAAGCATTGCGTAAGCAAAACATTGTGTACAAACAATTGGTAAAAAAAGCACTGCGTAAGCAAAACACACATTGTGTACAACAAAGCACATTGCGTTAAAAACACTGCGCGGTGAGAAACAACAGTATGAATTTAATTTACGCTTGAGACCAACCCTCCGCGAACCCCTGGCTCCGATATGCCCTAGTGTGAGGTGCTCTAGGCCGTTTCGCCTGCGACATCCTCACTTTTTGGGTTCCAAGATGCGGTTCGCGATGTGCTCAGGCCCCTTTCGATTTATACATTCTCGGAATTCCTGGCTCCGAGATGCTCTGGCTTGACGTGTTATGGCCAGCGTTCCTAGATGCGGTCCGCGAGGTGCTCGGGCCCGTTTCGATTGAGGTATCCTCGGGACCCCAGGCTCTGAGATGCCCTGACTTGAGGCACTCTGGCCCGTTTCGCCTGAGACATCTTGGGGTCAGGGCCGCGCAATTCGGGGGATGCCAGCTACAACCAAAGACCTGTGCGAGCATGTGCGGATGGAGCGTAGCCGCCCTTCTCAGGGATTCTCCGGCGTCTGTTCGCGACCGAGGTGTTACGCTTGAAGGTGATGGTGAGGGAGATCTCGCTGGGGTCGCCCCCGGCGCCGGGGGAAGCCAGGGACCAAGAGTCTGGAGCCTCGAGACGGGGGTCAACGCAAACGGGGGTCAGCCAGGGCGCCAGATCCTGCAGGATCCTGCAAAGGCCCCCTCTGGCTGACCCGGGTCAGGGAGCCGCTCGTGGCCGCGAGGCGGCCGCGCGTATTGGCTGACCCGGGTTTGCGAGGACCTGCGTTGCAGTTTTTTTTTCCTGCATTGCAGTTTTTGGTTTCCTGCTGACCCGGGTCTGGATTGACCCGGGTCAGAAGATCCCCGAAGAGGCTGGTCACAGAACAGGCGGGAGCCCACCATGTATGTGTTCCTACTGTTACCGTGCCGAGCCGTCTGCGATGCCCCCCATGGGTCGGTCGGCCAGACCCGTGGAGCAGCGGACCTTGCAGGAGATCCTTGAGATTGGCGCCCGCATGGCTCGTGCTGCCGACAATGGCTGCGGGCGTGAGTCCGTCAGCGCGGCTCCACGCCCGGCGCCTCCACTGGCGTCCATGTGTTTCATTTTTTTAAGGCGCATCATCGTGCAGAGAGCGGCGACCAGAAGCGCCAGACAAAAACAAATCGCTCCCATTGTTTCTGTACCTATGTCGGGTGTCCACACTCTTTGCTGGCGAAGGCCTTCCTGACCGCGCGCAAATTGAAGACGGGACATTCCTCTCCGCCCGGGGCTTGCGCCACAGGTCTTGCAGTTGGCTGTCGCGGGGCGGCCATGAGTGTGTCGACAGCGTCGAGTGTGTCGGCAGCGTCGAGTTGCGTGGCCCTGTCGGCTGCGAGTGTGTCGGCAGCGTCTAGATGGAGGACCCTCCCGTCCCCTTCACGGGCAAAAAGCAATTGCCATTGCTTTTTGCCCGTGAAGGGGCGGCCGCTTAGGGCACAGGCGGGTGAAAACTAGCAGACGCTCACGTGATGAAGAATATCTCCTATCATACAATTCCAAGAATGTGGGTCCACAAAGCAATGACACACACACACATAAAATTCGGAGGTCCGCGCGGATTCCTCGGATCGACGCTGGACACCCCTCCCGCGCAAGGGGCGGCGCTGGAGGCGCCGCCAGGGGGCCCCAGCGCCGATCCGAAAAATCCTCGCGGACATCCGAGTTGTTCTGTTAATGTCGTTGTTAGTTCCCCTACCCTTCGAGGCGCGTATTATTTTCTACCCTCTAGAGACTGTTTTTTCCATTCACACACCTTGACGTCCGTTACTGGTGGGGGGATCGGTCCTCCGTGGAGGGGTGACAGTGACGTGGTCGGGCCCAAGGGGTGGGATCCCCGGCGCTGGACGATGATGCCATCGAGGAGGAGGAGGAGAAGGAGGAGGACGTCGACGACGACGGCCGCCTCTTGAGGCATCTGGAGGCCCTCGGCGGAGACGACGACGACGACCGACGACGGTGACGACGACGACGACCGACGACGACGACGACGACGACGACGACGGCCGCCCCTGAAGGTCTCCAGAGGTCTCTTGAGGCCTCAGGAGATCTCCAGAGGCCTTTGGATTCGACTGAAGGCTCTCCGAGGCCCTCGGAAACGACCACGACGAGGACGATGATGACGACGAGGACGATGAGGACAACGACGACGACGACAGCGACGGCAACGGCGACGGCCACCGCGACGACGACGGTGACGACTACGACGACGACGACGACGACGACGACGACGACGACGACGACGACGACGACGATTACGACGCTGACGACCTCGACGACCGCATCTGGCGGTTTCTCCTCCTCCTCCTCCTCCTCCTCCTCCTCCTCCTCCTCTTGCTTCTTTTTCTCCCTCATCATTTTCCTCCTGCAGCCGCTAAGTGGCATTGGGTGGCGCTGACTGGCGCAGAGTGGCGTTGAGTGGCGCCGAGTGGCGTTGGGTGGCGACGAGTGGCGCAGAGTGGCGCCGGGTGGCGCCAGGTGGCGTTGAGTAGCTCCCAGGAGCAGCGCCGTGTGGCGTTGAGTGGCGCTGAGTAGTGCGGAGCGGCGCTGAGTAGCGCGGTTGTTTTTCCCCCCGCGTGGCCGTCACGCTGAGGTTTCCCGATGACTCCTGAAGTTCCCGAGACATTCCGAAGGACTCCCGTCGGATTCCCAAAGATGCCCGCGGATTCCCGAGGGTTCCCTGAAGAGCCCCGAAGTTCCCGAGGTTCCCTGAAGATCCCAAGCGATTCCTTCGAATACTTGTGGATCCTTCAGAATTCCAAATGGACTCCTGAGGATGCCAACAAGAAGATCGTCGCCGTCGTTGCGGTCGTCGCCGTCGTCGTCGCCGTTGTCGTCGTCGCTGTGGTCCTCGTCGTGAGGGAAAGAGGAGAGCGGGTGACAGGAGGAGGATCGATCGATCGATCGAGCTCTCGGGCCGGTTCGGTGCTGCACTCTCGCTACGTGCTGTGCTGCTTACTAAAGTTGTGTGGCCTAGCTGAGGTCACTTTGCTGGGGGTCGCGGGCGCCACTTAGAACAGGAGGAGGAGGAGGAGGAGGAGGACGAGGAGGAGGACGAGGAGGAGAGGGAGGATGAGGGAAGAGGAGGAGGAGGACGATGACGAGGAGGAGGAGGAGGACGAGGAGGACGAGGAAGAGGAGGACGAGGAGAGGGAAGGAGGAGGACGAGGAGGAGGAGGACGAGGAGGAGAGGGAGGATGAGGAGGACGAGGAGGACAGGGAAGGAGGGAAGAAGAAGAAGAAGAAGAAGAAGGCCGGGGAGCGGCGCTCGGCGGTGGGGAGGCCTGTTGGAGGCACCGTGCCTCCCCGCCGAGGGCGCGCAGCGTTTTGGCAGGGGAGGCCAAGTCTCTCGCCGCGAGGGAGGGCGCGAACGCCTTCGGCTGGGAGCAGTTCGTGCCGGCCCTGGGCGTTGGCCGACCATTCGGGAGCCTTGAGACGGGGGTCAACGCAGACGGGGGTCAGCCAGTGCACCGGATGCTGCAGGATCCTGCGAAGACCCCCTCTGGCTGACCCGGGTCAGCGAGCCGCTCGTGGCCGCGGGGTGACCGCGCCTACTGGCTGACCCGGGTTTGCGAAGCCCTGCGCTGCAGTTTTTTTTTTCTTGCACTGCAGTTTTTTGGTTTCCTGTTGACCCGGGTCTGGATTGACCAGGGTCAAAAGATCCCCGAACCATGGACGCAGCGATGCCCAGACATGTTGTCTTGTGGAAAACATCGAGGCCGAGGCGTTTTATGATTTTCGGCCTCTCGGTGGCCCTTGCTGGGCTTCGGGGATGTCGAAGGACGGCTCGGGATTCCAACCAGGTTCTGAGAAAGCGGCGAAAGCGGTCGCGAGGTCGGGGCGCGTGTCTGTCGAGACGCTGGAGGTTTGAGTAGTTCTCGGAGGTTGATAGACCTCCTACCCTGACACGTCGATTCAGGAATTATCCGTTTTCGGTTCGCGAGAGGGCGTCGCGGCCGTCATTTTTGCGGGTCCAGGCCCGTCGGTTTCGGTCCCAGGCCGTTTTCATTAAGGGGAGGTTTACTAAAGGGAGGTTTGTCCACCGCCGAAGGTCGATTGAATGTAAGAGTGAACCTTCGCCTGAGTGACCCCTGGTGCGGGCCCACCGGGGTCCCCGATCGCTGAACACGATGCGAGACCAAAGGCCTGTGCGCTCGGGCTTGGTGGCCCCCCGCGCCCCCCGAAAGCCGCGCACCAAAAGGTCACTCTTGCTCAGGGCCACTCTTACGTGTACTCCAGATTTCGTAATAAAAGGGAGGGGGTCTGGACCCTCCAAGACAAGCCATTTCAGACCCCCCCCGTGGGAGAACCCTCCAAAACATCGTCCCCAGACCCCCCCCAGGCCCTCCAAGATAGCCTGGAAGAGACCCCCCCCGAAATGAGCCTCCCCCTCCCTTTATTACGAAACCTGGAGTAGCCGACCAGGGCGCAGCGACAGGCTGACCGTGCGAGGAGCAGCAGTCAGGGCGTGGAAGCGAGGGCCGCTCCGGGCTCGGGTCGGGGGCTCTGGTCCTCGGGCCGTCGCGCAGAACTGGGTCCGGGGAGCTCTTCGTGTGAAGGGGCCCTGGGGCACACAAATAGACACACACACACAGAAAGATTCCCCATATTTTCCAGTATTTTCAGGGTTTCTGTCTCCCCCCCCACTTCCCATATTTTCGCATATTTTCTTGGGAATCGACGATGAATTGTGCCTGTGTGTTTTTTTCCCTCCTGATCGTGGCCGAGCCTCGCCGGGGCCAGACACAGAGTGGTCGCCCATTCTGTAGCCCCCCGCATGGTAGCCCGGTGGCTACATCAGCACGTTTCCTTGCAGCGGGCACGGCTCAGAGTTCGGCTAAGGCACCCCCGGCCACCGTGGATGTTTTCTCGGCCATACGTTTTTATTTGGCCGACTGGTGCGCTGTGGTTTTGGGGTGGGCGGGAATGGCCCGGCCGTTGGTTGCCGCGGAGGCGCGGCGAGGCTGGCGTGTCCCTGGAAGCTCACGACTTGACCAAGTCAGGGCCAGACGAGCAATTCTAAACAGAGGGCCGAGTGCGCGGAACATTCGCGCGTGTGCCGACCCCTTGAGATGGCGTGCAAGCGCCCTCGCCTCGGTATGCCGCGCCCGCGGCCAGCCCAAGGTCACCACGCAGGGTCGGTCTTCCTGCGTGAGAGTCTTTCTTTTCTTCCCAGCTCGGATGACGCCGTGGGGTCAGCAGGCGTGTGTGCATTGGCCTGCGGCTGATCTGTACGTAGCTTGCAGGGCAAGCGCGTCTCGGGCGGCCGCGAGGCAGTTGCGGTGGGAACGTTGGCTTAATGAATGTGCCTGGGAGGCTTCAGACCCCGGAGGATTCCTTGTCTGAAGAGGGCGATGGTGTTATCCATGGCTAGTTCACGATTGGCGTTTCACGGGCTTCCAGACCCTGGATTCCCCACCCAATGGTTCCTTATCCAATGCCTTAGGTTTCGTTGGCGGCGCCCCGAGCACGGAGTGAAAAACGGCAAGCAGGGCACCATAGGGGTGGGGGGACCCACCCGGGCGGCAGCCGCTCGGAATTTCTCTGCTCCACCGACAGTTTGTCGCGTTCCCTCCCCCACTTCTGCACCCCCCTTTGCCCCCGTCCGTTTGATCGGGTCCCCGACCTTGGGGCTCTCCCCAGGACCGGCTCCTCGTCCGGAGTCGCTGTCTGACGGCCCGTGGGTCCGCGAGGGGGCCCCGTGCGCCCGAGAACGGCGAGAAGCTTCCAGGATTCGCTTCCTCCAGAACCCGTTTTCTTCGTGCTGATCTCTGCCTCCCCCCCTCCCCGCCCCCACTCCCACCCATCCACAGAGGGGAGCGTGGCCGGGAGGATGCGGGGAGCCTTGCCGGCTGGACTCCGTTGAGACAGCCGCACGGCCAGAATTGGATATGTCGCTTCTCGTCGAGGTCGGCCACGTGCTCTGGAGAGCTTTGCGCGGACGAAATATGCTGCGTGCTATTGGGTTTTGCCCCAAAACATTGTAATTTTGCTTGATACATGGCTACCCATTATGCAGGGAGGCGCCGGGATTATTACGCTACCGAGGAACCCCTCATACTCAGTTTAACGCTTTTGTCATCGCTTCTCGTGTATGTTGTCTCTGGATTTCAGCCATATATGTTAAGCGTTGCGACAGTGTCGTGGATAGAAACCGCGCTCAGGGAACACCCCCTGCGCACCCCCTTCCGGCGTCGAGGAAGTGCCACGCCTGCTAGGCTCTGCAACCTGGCACGCATTGCCGCATAGAGAGACCGCGCTGACGAATCACACCCTGCGCACCGCTATTGCTGTCATGAAAGTGCCACGCCTGCGA